TTATCTTAAGGAAAAGTATGTTGTATACAAAATAAAATGAGATAAGAATTTACAATAGACAAGATAATATTAAAAAAAATAACGATAAAAATTACCGAAAATAATCAATTTTTATTTAAATTGAGATGAGAAAAATATATGAAAATAATATGAATTTAATATAAATTGAAAAATAAAAATAAAATTTGTGAACAAATCCTTTGTAAACTCAATTATTAATAAAGTAGTATTACCTTTTCGTCAGTGGTCAAAGGTTTCCCGATTTCATCAGGCGAAAATGATATGCAAGCGACTGTACCATCCCAAGAACAAGCCAATAAATTCATTCCATCACTGCTCCAAGATAAGTCGAGTATACTGTCCTCAAAAAGGTCCTTAATAACAACCAAAGGCCGTTTAAGATTTGTTAACCAGACACTCAATGAACAGTCCCTTGATCCAATAGCACAACAACAGTACTGTTGAAATTTGGGACTTCCTGAGATCACTTTTTTAAAAATATTCGAATTGAAACGCTAGAAAACACAATTTTGTGAACATTTTTAAATAGCTAGAATCAACACACATTCTATTTAAAGTTGTGTACTTTTACCAAAACTAAATGTATTTCCTATAAGTTAAAAAATTTCAAACCTACCACACATGTAACAGCTTTCCTATGGCCAACAAAATCCTTGTCATGTTTCCATCCATCTCGTTCTATTATTTGCGCTGTTGAACCACCTCCATTCATTGCATGAGCAGAAACAAGATACTGACCATCAGGAGACCAAGAAAGACGCAAGACATGTGTTGTTGCTGAGCAATCCACAAAACAGTCAGTGATTACTTCTTGCTGGGCCCAATCAGCTGTCCTCCATACCCTTAGTGATCTGTCATCTGACTGGCTTGCTATGTATTTACCAATTGGATCCCAAGTTACACCCTATATAATATAATTTCAATTAATTTTTAAAGATGACAAAAAAGGTTTAGCTTACTTTAACCAACCCCATGTGACCTTTTAGTACTGTAACTTTTTCAGGAAATTTATTTGCATTCCAAATAATCACAGTATTGTCTACACTTCCTGAAGCCAACCAGCCATCATGAGGAGCCCATGCCAAATCAAGAACATCCCCATTATGTGAATTTAATGTAGCAGAGCATCTCCACGTCTCATGATTTACCTTGCCACTTCCACCGAAAATTGTAGAGCTACCTTCTCCGGTCAATTTCCAAATCATAACTAATTTATCATCCCCACCAGAGGCCAATAAATGACCCTCATTACTCCATCGGACAATATTTACACAACCTTTAAAAAATCATTCTTGAGTCAATTGTACTTTTCATTTAACATTCATACCAAGATGGTTATCCATTTGACACAACATTTTAGGCACATTTTTATTTAATTCAGCTTCTTCATCTAAAACAGGAGCCAAATTCCATATAACAACTCTTCCGCCTTCACCTCCTTGTCCTCCTGTTGCAAATTTGCCTCCTCTTGGATGAATGTCAACAGAGAAAATTGGTTTGTTGTCTGTAATGGTTTTTACAGCATTAAGTTGTTTTAAATAAAAGTTGCAGGTATCTACGAATAATTAATAATTACCATCATGATTTACCCAATCTGGCTTCAAAAAATGCATAGTGATATGAAGGATATTGATGAAAGAAAATAAACTTAATTGTAATTTAATGTACTCATCATTTTCGTTTTAATAAATTGAATTTAAATAAAAATATTCCGGCTTTAATAACAACGATGACAATTATTTTAAGGTTATAATAAATAAAAATCATAGATAAAAGATAAAGATCAGAAAATTGTGATACACTTCTCTATGATAGTACATAGATAAGGTGCATCCATAAGGTGCATTAATACAAACCATAGATACTGGGAACTCTCACAGATACTGTACACTGTAGTTGTTAATGGTTGTTTAATTATAATTTAATATATTCATCTTTTTTTTTAAATATGGAATTTGATTAAAAATATTTCGGCCTTGATGACAATGATGATAACTATTTTATAAGTTATAAAACATAAAAATTATACATAAGAGCTTAATTCTTTATGGTACAACACATAGATAGTGCGCAACAGTACCATAGATATCAAAAACTCTCACAGATACAATTAAGTTTTGCTCAGTTTTACTATAAAATAACGTTAATTATGATGTATGTCGTATATTTTTAATTAAAACCAGCATATATTAAGCTGTTTAAAGTGTAAGAAGTTAGGAACTAATAAATTTTCATTAAAAAAATAAATTAGAAAGTGAGAGGGAATTATTACTTAAATATGTAACTCACTACATCATTTAATTAGTTTATAAATACCTATTAAATTGTTTTAACATAAATAAGAAGGAAACTTTTCCCAAAAATTTACACAAAATAATTTTAAATAGAATTCATTAATTTTGTTACAGAACTTTAAATACATTATAGTAGATGGCGACACAACACAGTTTAAAAACTAATTTTGGACATTTTTAAAGAAGTAGTTTTGGCAATGTTCGGTCAGTGTTAATAAAACCAAGTGTTGTATAGTAAAAAGTGGTAAGTATACCTTCATAATAATGCATTAGTCAATATTATCTTTAAAATGAGAATTTTATTGATTTTAACTTCTTTTGTAATTGTTTATACTACTTACAACTCATAATTTACGTAACTAATGTATAAACTTGTTTTGAAGTTCTTTTTATCAAAGTTATTTATTTAAAAAGAAAATTCACACATTGTTAAAGGACATGTTTAATTGTCTAGAGGTAATGTGTACTATAAACTGTAATGAATGATTTACTTGGTAAAAGAAGATTGCATTGTAGATAATTTGATAATTTGTACAAATGATTAATATTCCATTACTATTTTCATGGCCAGTTCACTTCTCCTAATTTTTCTTAGAATTCTTATGTATGCATTCAGATTTGAATTATCATTTACATCTTATATCAGTATTAAGGAATTATTTATCATATATCATTCCCTATTATTTCTTAATTTTTGTGGCACCATTATAGTAAAAATAAAATTTCCCATCAAGGATTGTTGGAAACTTTACTTCTTTTACTGTACTTAAAATAAATACTTATTATTTGTCATAGAATTTGTTAAATAGTTGTATTGAAGTTGTATTTAGTATACTAAAACGATTTTATTAATTAGTGGCAAATTTTCTACAGATGGTGCTGATTGTGCTGTCTGTGTTTTTTTAAATACTTATAAAACTGCTGTTGTTGACAAATTATTCTTTAGTCGATACCCTATAGATTAATAGAAAAAATTGAAATTGTTTAAGTTTTTTTTATTTTAGATGAAGTGCAACCTATGAGTGCAACAATGAAAAAGAACCCGTCTTGGGATTTATACTTTGAACACAAGCCAAAAGAATATCAACAGAAAAGGTAAGGAATAATGTTAATTTTTAACACATACTTATTACTATTTATTGCTCTTATCCACGTGTATATATGCCGTTAGTAGTACTGATTATGTGCAAATGATTGATCTTACAATTTTAACTGAATATAAGGGCAAATGAGAGTTATCTTGTCTTGTTAAAAAAAAAATATTAAATTCAATAAAACTATTTGGAGTCAAACTGTGTTTGAAAATGTGCATCCAGTCATTTCAGGGTTTAGAAGTACTGTAATTTAAATTCTTTTATGAAAAAATACTGTTAGGACTTGTTAAACGAATTACTTCGTGAAAGTGCTTTGTAATTTGTAATTTAAAGTGCTTGAAACACATACAGAGTGTTTAAGAGTTTAATTACTCTTGAAGTGGTTGTTAATTCGAAGTTCTTGGATCTTAAAATGTAATTAAGACTTTAAATGATAAAGTACTTTAAATAAGGGCTCCGGACTGAAGGCGTCAAACTCTTTTGATGAGGGCTTTGTCTACCTCTGATATTTAATATATCTGCTGATTAAACAATAGGTATTCGTGAAAAAGTAATCAGGGCTGAATAAAGTCCTTAGCAAAACATATTCTAAGTCCAAAATGCTTATTAAAGTGTTTTAGCCTCTGAAGCTCTAATTACATTTTAAAATCCATGGACTTGGAATTACCAATTTATTTAAAAGTAATTAGATTCAAATTTGAAACACATTGAAATTGCTTCAAACCAACTCCATGATCATGAAAGGGCTTGAGTTCTTTTAAAATATTATACAGATTCAAACCTTCTTTCTTACCAACATTCTGTATAGTACATAATATCTTTTTCTTGTTTATTTAAACAATATGCAAATACGTAAACATACCTACTGTGGAAATTTTTCATAATTATCGCATAAACTACCTAATTTAAGTCTTCGTATTCTGTATAAATTTAATATGCTATTAATGCTATATCGTTAGAAAAAAATGGTTTAAAATGAGAATTTTAATATTTTAAAAAGTCAGTGGACGACTGGACGACGCAATTGTGGTCGAACTTGTGTTTTATTAGATTTCAATTTATTGATTTCCATTGAGTTATGTGTTTAATTACTTTCAACATTTCTTTTTCCGCATATAACATTGAGTAACATGGGCAGTTAAAAAGGTAATAAATAATTAAAGTGATATTGACAACATAGGTTGTTTATAACCTTGCGTGTCAAATGATAGAAGTGATGAATATTTGCTAATATCTTGAATAATTTTCATTGTATGCTTAATTAATTAATTACTGTTTTTTATTAATAATATGATATAGACAACAACAAAGTCATCAAAGGTATCGGCTTGATGTCGATCGGTAAAGTTTTAATTAATTTGGATATCTTAAGTTGAACATTTTGAAATACTAAAGTTGGAAGTAAAGGTCAGCAGATGGCGATATGTTTCCTGTACCTTTGTTTATTGTATTCTATTTTATCTGTTTGAAATAAATTGCCTCACCGTTGATCGAACAGTACGAGATTATTGGAGTACAATGAATGTATTAAAACTTTCAATGTTTAAATCGTTTAAGTATGTAATAAATATATTAACATCATGAAAACAAGAAATTAATTATATTTAAACGCTCTCTACATGTGCTTTGACTACCTTTGTAATTAAAATTTACTAAAGGTAAATTGTAATAGGTTTATACATTTAATCCAGGTACGAGGATTTAGGAAAAGCATTAATTGGATTGCAATTCTTAAAATATTTGTCAATAATTGACATATCTTATATCTTTAAAGTCTGATTTATCGTTGGTAATGTTATGTTAGACACATACCTATTTCTGAACATTTTAAATTTCGATTTTTTCTAAAATGTCTTATTTTTACGTATAATATTTTAAATTGTTTTTTAAGTAATGAAGTCATACCTGCGGATGATTTTATATTATTTTGTCTTTTACCTTTTCATCTCATTAAAAAATTTTTACCTGCTTGGCGAATATAATTACAGATTAAATTTGTAAAAATTGTAATACCTTTTATATTGGACAAACCAAGTATATATCTAGTATATACATTTTATAAGCCACTCATTGTAAGAAGCAAATACGTGCTTTTGTAGATATGTAGGCACCGCGTGTGATGTAATTGGAAAACATTCTATTCTTATGGAAATAAAATTAAAGAAAAACATGGTTTCGACCATTATTGTTTTATAACTACCAATAGCTATAAAAATATCAATTTAAAAATCAAATTGTGTCCGTGTCAGGCCGGGACAGGTCAGATTTTTAGTAAGTTAACTTTATGGTCAATTACTACGATATAATACGTAAACGGTAATATAGACTAGATGTTATTGTTTAAAAAAGGAGCAGTGTTTGACAATTATAATTTTCCTGACTGATTTTATATTCAATACTTACGGTAGACCCTCGATAGTGTGAACTTCACACCAACCTTTCGTTTAGAAATGTATCAAGTGGAGGTCAAAATCGATATTTTTCGGTTGCTGTTGCGATATTTCTGTAAATCCCCGATATATTTACTACTTTGTCAGTCGTATTAGATGAGGATATGTTATTTCATTAGTTATTCACTTTAAATAGGTACATACTTCTTTGAATGTGATTGTAAAATGTTGTTTAAAAAAAATCAATGAGCCCTTAAATATTCCGTAGGAGAAATAATTTGCCAATAAATATGTAGATTAAGAGTGATGTTATCATTAGATTCTGGCTACAAAAAGTTGCTTTATCAAGTTCATTCACAAATTAAACAGGTCAAGTTTTGTAGTAAATAAATTCACTCCGGCTATTTAAAATAATCCTTGGAAAATTCTTGGTTATTAAGCCTTATTATTACAAAATGAGATTAGAAAGCCCTGGGTAACAAAGAGGTTGTAGGATTAACAGAGGAAAGGTGGAAATATAAGAACAGGACAGATGACGAATGGCAAGAAAGGTATAAGGCGATAAATTGGAAAATCAGTCGGAAGTTAGGACATCTAAGCAGTGGTTAGATATAATATATGCAATATTTTGAGAAACTTTTAATAGTGGTTAATATTTAATATTAATGAGAAAAATGGAGAAAAATAGTAGAAAAAGTCTTAATCGGCCTCTTAAAATCTTTTAGTTGAGCTATTATTTGGTTGTAACATATAAAATTCACGTATTCTCATGGGAAATCAAAAGAAAAGCATATTCGTTTTTTTTTTTTTTTGAGCCACTATAATCTACAATTCATCTTCCATTTTACCTGCCCCCTCTAGCCCATTCTCTGGTGACGCCCTTGGGCAGAGTGGTAATCATATGAGGAACGAGTTGGGACTCATTTTGTTAGAAAATGAGGAAAAGGCAGATATGTGGAAGGAATATT